TGTGTCGGCGGATGCTGTGTTTTAAAGCCGTGCAAAGACTATGTTCCTTTGGGATTAAACTTCCTTGTGTTAATCCGACATCTTGGCCTGCGTGCTGGTAGTCAGTGAATAATTATCCTCAAAACATTCGAGCTCGTAACATTGAGTTTTAGCCAATTCCATGTTCAACGTAATTGACTCCTTATCCATGCCTTACAATACACATCTTTACAACAACAACAACAAATTTTATTGAAAATTGGATAAATATACATTACCTTCTCAACCGCAAATTGCTTATGAACTAATCGAGGCGTGGGGAGCTGAAGACATATTACAAGTACAAGGTTTATCTATAGATGGACTAAATAACAGTAAAGACACCACTATACAATAAATACAATAAACTAACATAAAACAAGGCAAGTACCCAACGATTACGAAGACAGGCTAACCTATGTAGGGAGCTTAAGCAAAGACGTTTTTGAGCGACGCACGTCAACCGGAAGTGAGACCTTCTCACTATATATATGCCTTGACTCTAGCAAATTTGTATTGCTAAGTTTCTTTTCTCTTAAAAAGGATTTACCCGAGAGTTTCAACCAAACCACTCCCAAATGGTGCAAAACGTCCACTACCTGTTGTCAGCCGTCGCTCAAAACGCTGCTGCTTAACCCTATTCAGACTGGGGGGGGGCTTTTCGACCCCCCCCCCGGCAAAATCGTGATAACTCCTACACCGAAAGAGCTATGACGTTCAAATTTTCTGACTTTTCCTAAAATTTATCTAGGAACATTTTGGTATTATTACCATGTCCATGTGATTAATCATGTTGCCATGGCAACCAGTTTCTGACACATAGGTTTTCCAAAATTTAAAAAATGGTGATTTTTTTGTTTTAAGATCGCGTTTTAACACTTATAGTGCTTTTTGTTGTTAAAATGGTCTTTGCTTGGGATTAGTTTTTGAATTACATCAAAATGTTTTAACATCAAATATTTGGGGGGGAGGGGTGGGGTAAAATTTGTCACTTTTTTGCTTTGACAAATATGCTGCTCTATTTTCCAAATAACACTTCCGAAGTCATTTGTTTGGGTAATAAACATTAGTTTGATACTTCTTTTATACATTCTGAGCTTTTTCTCCTTTGAAAGTTGCTTTAAATTATAATTTTAACAAAAAAACGGAAATCCAAGATGGCCGACAACCATTTCAAATTTTAAATTTTATTGCTTCCTATTGCTTTTTCTCGCTGTACAAGTGTGTATTTTATATGCATATTTATTGTATATTATATTAAAGAGATGACTTTACCAATATTATTGATATTTTACGTATCTAAGTGGAAAAATAATAAGAAACATTGAAAAATGGAAATATGACGTCACTGTGACGTCATCATTGGGCAAGGCAAGTCAAAACTGGGTGTGGGGCTTCTTTGTACGGAGATGATCATTGTGTGTAAATTTCATGACCCTAGCATTATTGGTTCCAGAGATACAGAGGGGGGTCCGAGGAGCCCCCCCCCCCAGTCACAGATTGACCAAAAAAGCCCAGTCCGAATAGGGTTAAGCTCCCTAATAACTTAATATCACGGTAGACTTCGACCCGCGGGGGGTACTCTCCTATAAAAGGGACTGGGGTGCTCGTCGGAAAATTTCGACAACACCCCTAAAAGGTACCAGAATCTTGTTTTATGGGCGTGCGCCAAATTCATTTCCACCCCTAAGAGGTACCAATTCAACAACAACAAATTTTATAACTGGCACTGCGAATTTTAATAGTAGAAAACATAACTTTTGAACACTTTCTTCCCAAGAACTTTTGGAAAGTATTCTTGGTTTTCACATGACGTTCACATACCTATAACATATAGGTTAGGAGATGGATTTTCTTTCACACAAATCAGAAATAATCGCTGTGTGTCATGCAGCCTCGTCCCAGGGCTATCCCTTAAAAATGGGTGGGGCGTAAAAATGGGGTACATAACGCAATCAGGTCTAAAACGGCTCTTTCACGAGACACATGACATGTCGAGCGCGAGAGGGAATTTCGTAGTACAATTTTCATGTCTCAGCTTCTTTGCGGAAATGAAGTCAAACAAGGACACAAGGTACAAACAAACAAATTGTAGACCTCAGTATATATACTAGACAGGATAGGCATTTGATGTAGATTTTGAAAACTTGTGTAGTTTCGTGATAAGAACTTGACCCACATGTCTACATTAGCGAAGCGAGTTCAAATACTGCACCTGAAGGCAAGAATAATAGTTCTTTTACGGCTGACAAAATGGCATGAAACTTTCCACCTAATGTATATGAAGCATCTATGTATTACTGTGGGACTTGAGATTGCCTAAATTAAACGTATTTTAGCTGAAACATTTGTTGGAGGATTGATTTGTGTCGCGCCGAACCTCTTAACTCCCAAGGCAGAAAGGTCAAATTACACTCACGTGTTCCGTGAATTTTGCGTCCCCAAAAATTCATTTCAGTTGTTGCCCACAGTTTTGAAAGCATATTTTGAAAGCTTAGAGATTGCTTTTTAATGTAGAATGTCTTTTTCTGTTTGAAATCATGTATGGGATGTGATTTTATACAGTGGCTCACAAAGGCAATACATACACAAATCGGGGGTACTTTAGGAATTTCTGGGTGGGGATGTTTTGCTGGGACCCTGGAACCCTTAACCTATACCAGAGCTAGTTCAGCTGAATTTTGGTACCCTATACCAGAGTAAACTCCCCAAATCCGCCCTATCCTAGAGTAGCTGAGTTCCAGAAAACAGTAAACTGCTTGAAAACCATACCCTTCACAGCGACACATACCTATATTGCCCATATATGGCAGTATCCTCCGGGACACAAATTCATATTTTGTTACTGCAATCTTAGAACACAAACATATTCATCGGTTGTTCAAGTATATTTACCAGTACATTAAAATAAACACCAGTACAACAATATGTATCCCAATAGAGAAATGTTAATTTCAGTACCAAACTATTCACTCCACTATAGAAAGATATCTCCAATTCTTAGTACACAGATAATAGCTCCAGTACAAAAAAATTATCTCTCAGTAAACAAACATAATCTCCAGAACAAACATATTCATAGGTTGTGGGACTACATTCTTCAGTACAATAAAATACATGTATACAACAGTACAACAATATATATCCCAGTAGAGAAATATAAATTTCAGTACAAAAATTAACGTTCTAGTACAGAAAATTTTTTAAAAAATTGGATAAAATCGGTAGGTAATTTATCTATGATTATTACTATGTACCTAAATATATGCTTATTATGGTTTACCTAAACAAACCTTATGTATTTCATTATTATAGTTTTTCTCAACTATACAGCACTAAACACCACCATACACCTCTGTACAACGCCATTCAACCCCATACATCACCATCCAACACCATGCACCCCTACACCTCACCATATACCTCTCTACATCACCATACATCCACGTGCTATAACACCATGCACCCCAGTATACATCATCATACACTCATGTCAGCACCCATATATAATACCATGCACCCCTACACCTCCCCTACGCGGATGTATGGTGATGTATAAGGGTGTATGGTGAGGTATAGAGGTGCATGGTGTTAAACTCCCGCAAAAAGTTTGTGCCACACTGTTAAAGGCTACACATAACTGTTCGTCCGGGCACGATAAGAAAACATATAATAACCTTACAGGAGCACAAAAATGGTCCTCATTGTACCCTTAAAGACAGAAATACTGACCCCAGAAATCGTAACAAGTAAAATGATGCTACTGAAGAGACCTATATCTTCGTAAAGGGGTGTGGTGAGAGGTTCGATGATGACGTGTTAGTTCATTAATTATTTAGTTAGTTTTTTTTTCCACGCACATTTTTGCTCCTGATTTAATGATCTATTTTTTCTAGCTGAATATAGATATACTATACATTTTATATTAATTTTGATTAGCAGATGTAGAGCCATTTTCACACCCTTAGGATCTCCTGCGGGAGTCGAATAGTAAGCGTTGTCCTTCGTCGAACGCATTGAACAAACCGAAACAATAAATTGATAGAAACAGAGCAAAAATAAGCTACAAGAATCTTTTTTCAAGTCACTGAGGGCAAAACACAGATTCAAACTGTGGACGTAAGAAGGGTATGCTGAGAAGTTTGCTTTCTTTCTTTTTTAATCCCTGGTCGAATTAAAATGTATAACTAACAAGAATGCCAGAGACCTGTATCCAGCGTTCTAGATCACTAGGTCACTTGGTGTATATGTAGAATTTTTTAAGACAATATCGCAAATCTTTATTACCGCCCCTTAAGAAATTAAACTTTACTTAGGGCCTAAGATTAAATTTAAAAAAATGACGTTTTTGTTTTATGAATCGCAGCTGGGCTGAAATATAGCCCCATAACCCTTGTTCATGTACCAATACGCATTTCTTATTGTCATATTTGTAAATTTCAGTCCTCATATCCACGTTACATCGAGCATAGCCGTAAACTAAAGCAACAATTACTTTGTTGAGGTTTTCCTTGTAAAAAAGAAGTACAGAAGAGAAAACCTTAAAAAAGGGACAGGAGGGTGCGCACCTACTCAGGTGGAATCGGGAGGGTTGGGATGGAACCTTTGTCGAGTCCTTGGCCTTTCAATGTTACCAAAATAAATGGCAGCTGACATTTATTTCTTTAAGTTTTTTGGAAAAAGGGATAATTGAGAGATTTCAGGTACTGCTGTCTTGAAAACGACTGTCAGTTCGGAATTCATTTGCATACGATTATTCCTGGATCACTGACGAACTCGTATTCTGGTGGGTCGTTTCCCCAATATGTCGTCAGTAAGCAAAAAGAAGCACGAAAAAATGGAAATGTTTGTTTTAACGACAATTCAATTTTTTTGCTTCGTTTAGCTGCATTAATTAACTTTTAAATATATATATATATATATATATATATATATATATACATATATATATATATATATATCTTAATTTTTTTAAAGGAATCTCATGCCTGGCCATAACACTTGAGTTTTCCTAGCGTATGATATCCTTCTTCATCTGAACGATCAAAGTCCGCCAGTCTGATTTGTGACACAGGAAGAGCAGACTTGTCAAGCAGCAGACCGCTGTCTTCTTTCCAGCCCCTGTTTTGCTCGTGACAATTACACTTTTGACCATTGGAGCAAGAGTTTGTGACTCCGCATGCGCACATGTTGGGTGATCCACCAGCTCCTCCCCAGTAGTTCATTTTCCTTCCATCACGTGACACCCACCAGGCAACTGACTCCTGTACAAAGGATACATCACTGCTACACTCAAACTTGATAAACTGTTCACAGTTTTGTGAGACTCGAGTGAGTGCTGCCAACTGAGCGGTGCTGACTCCACTATAAGTCACATCTCTACTGTAACAACCAGGGTTATCCAAATTACATCCGGGAATGTTACCAACATAGGTTCTACTCTCACTATCGTGACTGATGACTGTCACGCCAACTCCTCCCTTGTCACTCATATCACAATACACACTGAACGGTGCCACGCCTCCTTTGCCATCAGGGTCAATAATATAATTACCTGATGAACTTCCACTGCGGCCTGATTTAATGCCGCTACAAGACGTTTCCTTTTGCACTTCAACAATAGACGATGCCTTAATTGTTCGTTGATAATTTTTAGCTACACATGTGTAAGTTCCGGCATCTTTTGTTGACACGTTCCTGAGAAATAAAGTTCCGTTTGGAAAGACAACGTGGTTTTGAGGAAGATTTTTGTTGGTTCTTTTCCAAGAATTCTCAATGGATCCCTGAGCCTGGCAATTGAGCATCAGGTTACCTAATTCAGAGGCTACGAACTTTATGGGAGGTGTCAGAGTAAATGTAAGCCTGTCAATCACAGCTACTAGGGCGACAGCAGAGTCTTCTCCAAGGAGATTTTTTTCTGAGCATGCGTATGTCCCACCATCTGCCTTTGTTACACTTTCTATGCTCACATTCCCATCGATCACTGTAGTTTTTCCTCTTGGCAAGTGACCAAATGCTTTTCGCCACGTCACCGTTGGCATCGGTTGACCAGAAGCTTTGCACACTAGGGTCACGTTTTCTCCTTCTTCAACGATAACAGAGGAGGGCTTTTGTGTGATCAATGCAGCAACTGCAATTAAGAAACACGAAAGAACATATCACCCGATTACTTTGAGCACCCATGAGGAGTTTTCTGTAAGTTAACCTTAGCAACGAGATGGAAAAGAATGAATGAGGGAACAGACATGGAAAAAGAAATACATTAATTTCATATTTGTGAACAAAAATTACTCCGTGCAGTTTAACGAAACCAGCGTAAAGCCTTTTGTAAGGCCGTCGCCCCTGTGAAGTCTGACGGTTCAGATTTTCAACAGCGGATCGAGTCGGTGTCAAAGACTCACACAGTGTACTGATTTACGACTCCGATCATGACGATCTGTTGAAAATCAAATTTTCGAAGTCGCGGCCAGACGCAGAAGAAGCAAGCCTATCACAAAACGTGGGGAGCAAATGATTTCTGTATTCTTCCGCTTCTATTTGCAACTCCCACAAACTGGTTTTTACCAGATTATAAGCGGTGAAGGGATAAGCCGGAGTCGGAAGAGACTAGAGACGTTCCGATTCTTCCGATGGCCTCCGACCCCGTCGAGCTTTTGACTCCCCTCGCGAATACAAGATATTTGATTTACACTAGGTCATAAGCGGGGCTTTCACGATTCCATATTGAATACAGTTAATTACTGTCATATGTCAAGTAAGAAGAATCTTGTCTAGTAATTTTGTTCTGCTTAACTGCAGCACCAACTTCTTAAGAGAATTTTTTGTACAGCGGTGTCCTATTCAAGATAATCGGAGCCATCACTGTGACAGACATTGTGTTTGATATTCGAATTTGTAACGAGTGAAACAAAAAAAATTGATTTCAAGAACCGTTAAATACGCTTCTGGATGGCAGAATAATATCAATGGGTGACGTCGGCGTGCCAGCATCGATCGCTTTTATACAAGGAATTGAAATGTTGAAGCCAAACAGGTCAATTTGCATTGTTTCCATGATAAAATTTTTTCTTATGACTATGGACAACCTCTGGGGTGATAGTTGAATGGGACACAAAACATTTGGGCATGTAAGCATCCTAACCAGTGTATATCCAAGAGATCGATCCGATGCACTTTTGCTAGAGCTGTATTAAACAGTATTTAGTTGTTTAGATGTTTGACAGCGAAATAAGACTACTGACACGTTGGTATTGGGAAGTAAATTACCTTGAACAGTTAATGTGGCCGATGAGATCATGACTCCAAGAATGTTTCTCGCCCTACACGTGTACACCCCTCTGTCCTGTGATGTCACATCTCGAATCATCAGTCGACCACCTGATTTTACAATACGTTTGTCCAAAGAGATGCTGGAATTTTGTTTCAGCCATGTGACCTGGGGTGTTGGATTTCCTTTAACCTCACACTGCAACAAGGCTATATCAGTTTCGTTTACCACCATGGACATCGGAGGTGACACAATAGAAGGAGCTGAGACGGATTCACCAGGATCGCCCTTTGGTCCTTGAGGGCCCTGATCGCCTTTAGGCCCAGGTGGTCCCTGATCTCCTTGAGCACCTCTGTTTCCTTTACGTCCCTGGGGTCCTTGAGGACCGGGTGGACCCTGATTTCCCCGAGGACCAGTCTTTCCTCGTCTTCCCCTAATTCCTTTCGGGCAGTTAACCTTGCAGGCCAGGCTACTCATGGCCAGCTGAACTTCCATGAGGGGCCTCATAGAGAATTTTTTGGACGCTGGTGGAAGCCACAGTTGCTAAAGACGCTATGCTAATTAAATTCTTAGGTGTGAAATTTAATTTCGCAAAAGTCAGTCGCTTGATACATGATCTTCCCTGACGCATCAAAGATAACAGACAGGAAGCTTAAGATGCCTGGTGATGCCATTTTGTGGTTTTGAACCCCGCTGCAGTGTTAATCGAGAACGCAAAAAAGTAACCTTTTTGTACTCTTTCATGTTATATTGATGTCTTTAAAACGTTTCAATGCGCTCTTTGTAGTCACATTGACTTTAGCTGACCAAAAGAAAGACTTGATTTTTATGGACACGTGAAAGTTTTTTTTCTGTCATTCGACCTTCTTCGGGATTGATAAATTTTTACCTGCTTAAAACGTGACCTATACGCTACCTGGTGCGCGAAACCTTTCACACGGAACGCGGTTAAAATAACCCGAGAGTGAGCGATTTTCAAGCGCATCTCTAGAGTAATTTTTTTAGCTTAAGTGTTCGACTGCTTATCCGTTATGGACGCTAATGACGACAACAAGGGCAGAAAACGAAAATCTCGCGAGAATACGCAAGAAGAGAGGAGAAAACAGCGAAAAGAGTGGAAAAAAAGAAAGCAACAGGCTAAGCGGGCAAAGTCCAGCTCTTCCACAAATGCTAGAAACGATGGTAGCGAAGAGAGGAAAGTAGCTATCGAGGAGCAAAAGAGAACTTTGGTGGATACAAAGAAAAAAGCAAGTTCCTTAAAAAATTCTCCAAAAGTTCATGCATCCAAGTCAAAAAGCCTCACCAAGGAGATCAAGCCAAAAGGGCAACTGGCAGCCGCAAACTCAAGAAGTGCTTTGATGTTGAGCTTAGCCGTCAAAGGAAACTCTTCAAAGACAATGCAGGCCTTGGCAGATGGAAAATCTCGCAAGCATTCCAAGCAAAAACCCTATGACGCACCTTCGAATCGACCACCGCAGCACATGCCAGCTTCATCCAGGAGAAATCTGGGTGCAGTTAAAAAACACATTGTCCTTAAGGAGAAGAGCTTGATAAAGGAACTAGAGCCAGGGCATATAGACTATTTGCCTCTAGATGCTGTTGGTAGTGGAAGCTACGGGCAATGCTACCGTGCCCGTTACAGGGGAATCGACGTGGTTGTAAAGAAGATGATACACAGGGATACAGAAGAGGACAAGTTAAGGGCCAAGCGTGAAGTGATCCACGAAGCAGAAGTGCTTACTGCACTTGGGGACCATGACGGACTGCCTATGCTTATAGGCATCACAACAGCAAATACACCATTTTGTGTTTTAACGCAGTTCCACGGTGTCAACGAAAGAAGTGTGACCCTTCACCAAGCTGCAAAGAACAAAATGATAACGCCTACCGAATGTGTTCATTTATTTGTGAAGATCTGCTCCGCCTTAGAGCACGTGCATTGGAAAGGATTTTTGCACAATGACATTAAAAGCAATAATGTGGTGCTTGATCAAACTGTTTCTGAAAAGTACGCCCCAGTACTTATTGATTTCGGCAAAAGCACAAGAATACGTTCTGCTGCCACGATAACTGTGAACGAGAGGAAGACGCATGAGAAGAGTGCCCACGTGAAAAGTTACCTTGCTCCTGAAGTCGTAAAGTGCAGGCAGTACAGTCCAGCCAGTGACATATATTCTATGGGACGAATGCTGAAAGCGATTGCAACGACCATGGGATTTTATGACAAGGTTCGTGTTGTTGTTAAGACTGCAACCAACGACGAACCTTCTCATAGAGCAAACATCCAAGAGTTTGCCAAGGAAATCGCTGCAGTTCAATTTTAATTTTTGCTTTTGTCTGCCTAACGCCGGGGGGAGGGGGTACTCCCTGTGATGACCTATACGTGGAGGCTCCGCCCGAACGGGTACCTTTTTCAGGCTTCAGTTATATGAAAGGGCGGGGATTTCACTGGCTGAAGTATATAAAAGGGTATATCTAGGTATATTAAAGGGGTACTTTTCTCGTGAAAAATGATATATAAAAGGTTAAGGGGTTGAAAATCGGGGCGGAGCCTCCCCGTATAAAGGTGTTTTAAGTACCCCCCCCCCCCTCCCCCCGAGCCTAACGGCGAAAAAAATTAAAAAAACAACAAAAGACACCAAAACCCCTCATGTTCTACAGGCTCATGATGTACTCCAAAGTCATTTCGAAGTCCGTAAACGCCGCATACAAATTTATTTTTAAAAAGGTTAAAAGAAGAACCGCTAGTTTCATGCAAGCCGAGAACGGAATCCTTTTATAGTCGCATTTGCAGCCAATAAAATTATCGTGAGTGTCTTCTAGATGATCGCTAGTTGCGAGCTTTCAATATTTTATATTTAGTTATGTACAGTAGGTGGAATTACTATAATGTTTGTTAGATGACTTAGATTAGTGCATTGTAAAGCGTAACATTTTTTTGAATAATTGTATATTTTAAATTGTACATTTTTATGGATTTTACTTATTCGGTAATAATACTTGTTTATAATAGCGTATGCTAGCGTAATGGCTGCGACGTATTAAATTTCAATAAACTATTCAACAGTCAATAAATAGTTTTGTAATGATAGTTGGTTATCAAATAAACCGGGACAGGCCCCTAGGGGAGAGGGCTAGGGCAGTGATATAGTCATCTCATCCATGTCCATTAGGATTATTTAGCGATATGAAGCCGAAACCCGGCCGTATCGAAGTTATCTTTACGCAAATAATCGTTATAGCCACCGAAATCTACCCTCCTTATATGAAGGAACGTCAGCTTTTGCCTCCTTTTTACTTTCGATAAGATCTCCGCGCACTGCAAACAGAAATTTTTCACGTCAAGTGACGTACGAGAAAAAGTACCGGTCAGCGGCGCATGGCAAATTAATGATTAAACTAGTCGACCAGCAAGTTAGTACATTACATTTCAACTGTGCAAAACAAAAGAAAAGTGAAAGTACAACCAAGCTAACAAAGATGGTAATTGGATTAAGCTTTTTATGGAAAAAACTTTACTTATGGCGCTATTTTCGAAAAGGTATAAGCTCCAGTTCGCTCGACCCGCTACCAGAGGTCGTTTTCTTCAGTTGTGGAACCAAGCCAAATCATGTAGAAATGGCGTACGAAACGCTTTCCTTGATGCGGGTATTTTCGCCTCATCTGAACCCAGAGAAGCATTGGTACGCTTTGAATTCTACCTTATGCTGTTCAAAACCAGCTGCCTTTTGTTCCACCTCATCCGCGAATTTATTTCCTGAGGAATATAAGCTCGTCTTCCTCAATGACCTGCGTGGCGAAGATGGAGCTCAAGTGTCTTTCCGCTGGTTTTGCTCGTTTCGGAGCAGCGAGAAAGTGTACGTGGCTTCGGCATTCGGTCTACTGCTTGGGATTCTCCGCTTAAAATCGTGGTCCAACTGCCAATTCATGAAGTCGGATTACATCCATTGTTTGATATCCGTGCTAAATGCGAGAGGCTTGCAGTGCAAGGTTGGCGACTCCGACCAAAATATTGCCTCTCTGCCGACCCAGGTTACGGCAGTGGAAGCCCTGTACTTCACCCCACAAGTAAAAAGCAGCAAGGGATGCCAAAAAGTCGATCTCCCCACTCCGCCGAGCACTCCAAGGCAAAGCCCGCCAAATCCTGAAAGCCCGCCAAAATTCGAGAGCCCGCCAAGACAAATTCCAAGTGATGTCCACCCAAAAAGGAAGAAACGGACAATAGAAGAGATCAAGGTGGATCAGGATCTTTCCCCACCCAGCAAAAGAAAGAAAGTCCGTGAAGTTGCCACTCGAATTATTCAAGACATTCGAGAAGTCTGCGTGTACAACGAAGAAACTCTGGGGACCGTGCTGGCAGAATGTTCGAAAATGACAGGAAAGGAAGGCCAAGATGTTCGCGAAACAGTGAAGTCAGTCGTTGACGCAATGGTAGCGGAAAAGGGTGCACGAAAAGCCTTCGAGAAGCTGGTATCCGAAGACGCGTGGAACGAAAGAGTGAAATGTATGAGGGTCCCTGACTGGATGTACCTCCTATTCAAGCTGAAGTCGAGAATTTCAGACAGTGGCTGGCAGGATTTAACTAATCTTACGAAGCTTGCGAGAACTGGGGTAAGTTACAAGATCTATTCTGACCTTATGAATTTTTGATAGGGTGCTTATAGTGTTCCCCAGCTATGAAGACAGTGGGGGAGGGGATGGGGGACTTTTATTTTAATTGGCACTGCTTCTATTTTAATTGGGTAATGGGGGGAGGGGGCTTGTTCTTACACCTTAAATACGTTTTTGGGGTTGGCTTTTGTCTCTAGCACAACATTGCATGTTTCACAGCAGGTGTAATTTTAAAATTTTTACAGAAAACATCAGATGAACCTATTCTGCTCATCAAGAATAATATTGCAGCGCTGCGAAGGGCTCACTTCAGTGTTACAAGATCACTCATGGACATTACTGCTCTTCCTGAAGAAGTCCCTGGATTTGAAGTAAATCTTGAAAATGTTGCCGTTTGGGTCATCAGGGAGATGCGCCTACATGGGTCACTTCCTGATGACATTACATTTAAACTGTCGATTGATGGGCGTCCTTTCCATGGTAAGGGTACATGAGTACTGTACACTTCCCCTTGTTTTTTTTCTTATATCCTTTTCTCTTGTTTCAAGTAGATATGTTACAAAGCTATTTCTATTTTTGTAGGTCAATTCTTGCTGTTCTTTCTGTGTTTTTAGCCAATAGTTTGTCTATTTCTTTCACCATTTTGTACTCACTACCAGAACAACTCAACCTCATCCCCAGGTTTTCTCAGTTAACAGTTCAATAAGCTGGCAGTTTTGCCGCACACATGACACCAACAGTTCACATATCTGCAAAATTCTTCCAAATTTGGTTGACATTCAAGGCTGCTGCTGCCAGTACATGTATACTTACATATATATACTTACATATATATACATAAAAAAAGTTAAAGAAGACCAAAAGTGTATATAGATACCGTAGGATATTACATGGCCACGCGGAGATACGCAATTTCTCTTCGAGTGTTGAAAAATATTTCACGAGTGAGCGCAGAGAAATTTCGTATCTCCAAGCGGCCATGTAATGTTCTATTTATTATATAAACACCAATGAAATACCAAATCATTTCTCTGAAACAGTTTTTTCCTGTGAAAGGTGCGATTTATTATGTAGCCATAGCAACGGTGATATTTTCACGTGTGAAAATAACATGTTATTTTCACGTTATTTTCACGTGTGAAGATATCATGTTTTCGCGCGAAAGCTCACCTGGTATTTCATTGGTGTTTATATAATAAATACATATATAAAGTGTATGCATATATAAATTATATAATCATTATATATTTTTATATTTTGTAAATTACAGGCAAAGACCAGCTTGCATTTGGCATTGTTCCACTTGATGCTCAGTACCGGTCCTCTCAGAGTGCCAAGTCAGTCTATCCTCTGGCTATAGCTAACTGTAAGGAAAACAGGTTGGTGGCATTGCTTTCGTTTTTTCGACATTTGGACTGTTATTGCATGTGTACGTTATTTGTCACTCAAATGTAGCTGTAATATTTATTCCAAAAAAATTTATTTTCTAATGATCTGCTGAGTGTGAAGCAAAAGAAATATTATGGTAGTGTGACTAAGCCCATTACCTGCATAAAGTCACTTCCTTAAAAAAAGCACTTTTGTTAATCCAAGTCATATATCAAATTAATTCTGCTTGTCTGTTTTTAAGAGATGACCTTAAGAAGTTGCTTCATAATCTTAACAAGCAGAAGGACAAACTGAAAAAGATGGGAATAACAGTGGATGGCAAACACTATCGTGTACAGTTCAAAGGTAATTATGATCGCCTGTTAGTTTATTATTTCAACTATGAAAAAAAGAGTTACTTATGGTGGCTTTTGTACCAAGGAGAGAAAAGTGGAATTACTAACAGTTTCAATTTTAGAGTTGAATGTACAATCTTAACACAATGTTGGCATTGTCTAGCATTTAACATTGGCCTTTTGGTTGTTCCTTTTTTAGTTACTCTTGATTACAAAGGTTTAGTGTTGCTCATGGCAAAAATTGAAGATGAAGATTTTTTGCTGGGAGGACGGGGCCTGTGTGTCGAGTTTTGCATATTCTGTTTTGCACTGAGGGTAAGTTTAGACTATGCTGCTAAACACATAGTTACAGACTTCTCATTAGTCCAGTTTGTCTGTTCTGCAATATACATATTTACACAACAATTTATTTTTGCCCCCGTGCATGATACATCAAAGAAGAAAAAAAGGACCTGATTAGTTTTTATTATAATTATGTAGTACAAAAAATTTGGTACCTAGTTGACAGTGGTAGTAGGATTTTACAGGCCTTAAGAAATGCATAATCATTTCGTTAATGTGAAAGCTAGCAAGGAAACAAAAAATACCGGTACAATAAGGGGTTTAAGAACCAGATTGTTTTGGGTTTCTCATTTCAAGATAGCTGCAGATCCTGCATCTTTGTATAAATTTCAGTCCAATGCAGGGAGTTATGAACCAAAAATTGACCCCTGACATAATGAGTTCAACAACATGTATAGCCATATTAACAGTGGTACTGTGCTTTAAAAGTGAGACTCCTTTAATTTCAACAGTACAGAAAGTACTCCCAAATGTTGAGCCTAGTCTCTCTCTCTCTTTTTCTCTATAGGCTTGTGATTGTGATTTAGGAAGGCATGAAGTGTGTCTTGAGCACTTTCTTCAAACAAAGGCGAACATTGGCGGGTATGTCTTTTCAAACATTTGCAACGAAGTTACTATTCTTCCACATGATATGCTGCTGTTTCATTCAACTCAGGCATTTCATTTGACACACTCTCATTGAATGTTATCCCTTTTTATGCTCCCACTGAGCTTAATACAAAATAATTTTTTGTTGTTGAAATTTTCATATTAGCTGCTGCAGGCATTTTTTTTAGACAGCTTTACAGTTGTGATAAATTTTTGTTTCTCTTTTGAGTATTTTTTTTAAGTTTGGAGCATACTGTAATGTTTGCAATAATGATTATTAGTTTCAGAGGCTTGAGAGATGATTTGACATGCATCCTTGATGAGGAACTGTCTTCAATGAGTCTCTGTGCTTTGCACTGTGAGATGAGAAACACAGAGCAGTTGTTGAAGAGTATTGGCTTGTTGGCCTATGAGATTGGATCACTTGAAGACTGCAATCAGAAACTTTCTGAATATGGTCCAGCTAATTTCAAGGCAGATCGCATCACAGTCAAGTTAAGGCCGGGACAGCAGGTAGCCCCTGAGCGAAATAACATTTCTTTTGCCTCATGCTCAGGTAAGTCTAGCTTAGAAGATTAGTCTTAAGCCAAGTAAAAAAGTCTTGACTGAAATGTGACGTCAGTTACTCTTCACATTGTTTCGAGTAACAATTAGTTAAAATCTTGCACATAAAAACTTACTTTTTAATAATTTCATACTCATCTGAACTGGCGGGTGGCACACCTCAGACACTTCAGTGTAACATACATAACAACTTACTTTCTAATAATTTCCTACCCATCTGAACTGGCGGGTGGCACACCTCAGACAGTTCAGTGTAACATACATAACAACTTACTTTCTAATAATTTCCTACCCATCTGAACTGGCGGGTGGCACACCTCAGACAGTTCAGTGTAACATACATAACAACTTACTTTCTAATAATTTCCTACCCATCTGAACTGGCGGGTGGCACACCTCATACAGTTCAGTGTAACATACATAAAAACTTACCATTTTATGATTTCCTCCCCTTCTGAACTGGCGGGTGGCACACCTCATACAGTTCAGTGTAACATACATAAAACCTTACCATTTTATGATTTCCTCCCCATCTGAACTGGCGGGTGGCACACCTCATACAGTTCAGTGTAACATATTGAAATCTTCCTTGCTTTTCTCTAGGGCTTTTTGCCAAAACGAATGGGACTTATGGAGAGCATCATTTTAATGCTGGTAACAATATTGAAATATTAAACTTAAGCACCTTTAAATAAGGGTAGTTGACCACATGAAATGTTTACATGAAACTGTTTAATGCTTTGTATTGTGAGGCATGAAAACAAATTAATGGTGAAGAAATTCTGATTTTTTTAAAATAATTATTGTACCCTTTTTATTTTGACAGGAGGCACTGAGCGACAAATGTTGGCTTCACTGGAGGACATTGTTGACAAGTCTCTGCCTCTTTCCAAGTTAGAAACTCATTTCCAAGACCCTGAGGCAGCAAAATTATGCATCCTGAACAAGATATCATTTTGTGAGGCCCGGCAAAAGGTGTCTTTCCCATTTTTTCCTTACTTTTTCTTTTATAGGTATCCAAACAATACTTGTTGGTGCACTGTCCTCGAGTATTATTATAGCATAACTATGGCCTGAAACGCTAGACAAATAGACCAAAATACAGAATGATGGCGTTATTAAACAAGCCTATAAGTTTGAAGGAAACAAAACCACCATCACCATTTCAGTTTTAGCAAATATTACATTTTTTATGATCAGTGCATGCCCATGTGCACACCTATGCCTTAATAAGTTTGGTTTTTTTTACACAAAACCAATAATGTTCTAACAAACTATATGCCATTTTGCAGTATTACACTGAAATGTTGGAGAGTGGGATTTTCATTCGTGATTTTGGCACACACCAAGAGGAGATTAATCTTGTGAATTCAGGTACCTTGCACATTAAGGTCTCGGTAAATGAAAATTTTAGTACATTGCTCGATTTTGTTTTTTTTTGGATTTTTGGCATGAGCGAGTCCTAAATTTTATTTTGGCAAAAAAGGAAATCAGAAAGTGCTTTTTAACCCTTCTAAAATGAGCCTTCCCTGAGCTAACCAGCCAGGCGTGGACCTCGCGCTAAATCTTTAGAGCTGATTTTCTCTCACTCTATTTTAGACGCAAAAATCAAAATTCTCCGACCTCCAGTCGGGACAGGTTTTAAGCTATCGCTTTGAAACTTTCAGATATGATGGATAATGATATAGACTCAAAAAGGGTGTGAGGAATTTTCTGATTTCCCTTTGTAACTCATTTTATGTCAGTTTCTTTGTGTAAATCGCGCTCGAGATTCGACTTTTTAGTTTGAAATGCAATAATTCCGCTAATACGAGACATATGCAAATTTCCTCACACCCTTTTTTAGGTCTTTTATCTGTCAATCAGACGCAACAAAAAGGAAGTGAATATTTAACAACGCGAAAGGGCTGGAGCTTCAGCAGTAAACTCGATACCTCTGAGTTTGAGAGCAAAAAACTTAGGCGCCTTTTGAAATTCGATGAAATAAAATCTTTTATAAGGTAATTTAGTCTTTTAGCTTTAATTTGATATATAACTTGCCTTTAATTGTAGCGAAAATACTCGTGCGACTAGAATTTTTTTCTGTGGGCGCCTCGTTTTCCTTTACCGAGACCTTAAGCCATCCTGATGTTTTGATGTGTAATTTTTTTGTTTTGGCTGAATTTACTGTTTACCCTTTATTATAGTTCCCTACCTGTGTGGAATGCCTACCTTATAATGAACTTAAAAATTGTTACTGTGGCACTTAGGTGGCAGCCCCGTCTTAATATTCACTCCTAAAATTTTATTATTATTAGCATTTTAGTATTTTTAGTTAAATTTATAGTAACCTTTTTTTTATCTAGCAGTGCCATTAATTGTAGAACACCTTGCATGATAACAGACCATCTGTATAAAGACTTGTATTCATGTTTTATTGTTATTATTATTATTATTATTATTATTATCAATATCATTATTGTTATTAATACTGCTCTTATTAAATGTGGCTCTGTCTATCCAGTTGCAAGTGGGGAGTTTGCCAGACTTACGAAATACTGGAAAGGAAAACAAGAGGACATGGAGAGCAACTTTAAGCAACTGTACAAGCCCGGAGTTCCTATGACTAAACAACGAAAAGGAAAGAACTGTAAAAGAGTAGTGCACAGCAACAAGGAGCTCAGCAGCTATGCAGGCTCATTGACTAAGGAGTTCATTGTAGAGGTTAGGACTTCTATACTTCTATCATGCATTTCTTAGAATTATAGGATTCTATTTCTGACAAAGTAATCCAAGTTGAATGTGTGAACTCAGTAGGTTGATTGTCATTGCTAAAGGATTTGAGATATTAAAAATTACTGGTGCACAGATGTGTACTTGATATAACACTCACATAATCCTTACTGGCTGAGGTCGGCAAAGGATGTTTTTCATTTTCAGTACAATCATAGATGCTATATCTGCTATAGCCACAAGACATATGTCATATCTTTTCAACAGCAGTAAAAATTTAGTGCTATAGTATGGTGATACTCTGGGAAAAAATGCAGTCCCTACATCATTAGAAGTTTACTAACACTAAGTATTTAAAATACACTTGACACATTCAGTGTTAAATATTATCCACACCTTTTATGGAAAGACACAAGAAAACAATCTTGGACTAGTCTTTAGTCGGAGAGGTGCAAATAGACATGGCTTTAAGACAGAAGGGTGTGTGAACCATTAACCATTATTGCATTTTACTGTAGCTAACTCTATACATGAAAGTCGTTTGTTCTTTTTTGTAGGTGTGCTCGTTATGGAAGGAGATAGCATTCACCATAAGAGACAGTGAGTTTAAGGGGAGCGAAGAGCACCTTATTGACATTTTTGACATTAAGGTTTGCATCAGTCCGTCTATTTTGTTCTTCTTGAAGTTTTCTTACATTATATACACATATATAAGCCTACATCATTTAGCTTTAAAAGGCTAACCGAAGAGTCACTGGCTTAATATCAGTTTTATATACTGAAAAGGGGACTACAATTATTTTTCTATGTCGTTGTCTGAACCATACATTAACCCCTATCTGTTTTGGAGCATTAATAGAGGATACCTTTAAGTGTCAGTTATTTCGAGACCCCCTTCCATGAACGGTGACCTCAGGCTCTGCAATTATTTTGCACCACATTCCTGGCTGTAAGCTAACCCTGCACATAGGAATTCTTGTTGTGTCTCAACTCTATTGGGTCATGCTATTGTATCCTCAGCATTGCAAATGGTAACACGTGCAGGGTAGTTTTTGCGGGACATTGTGATGTTGAGTTTTGAATCTTATTTTCTAGTGCAAAGAATGGGGCTTCCTCCTTTTGGAGATGTTTGGCACAAGCCTAGGTACAGGAGACTATGGCCACCTTACAGTGGAGCATGTGCCCATGCTTTTTCGAAGGCATCGTTCCCTGGGGCAATTGTCAAACCAGGGTTTTGAAGCTGCACACAAGCTCCAAAGACAGCTCTACACAAGGGCAACATCTCATGATGCATCAGGCAATGCTTCATCATGTATGTGTGATTTCACATGACTTATGCCATGCATGTAAATTACTATAAAGCGCCCCCTCCCCCCTCCCCGAGTCCCCCAAAATTTCTAAACCCTAAGATTAAAGTCAGTCTAGAAGGCTTCCTGGGCAAAGAGAATCTTGCTGGTGAAATATTTACGCTCATTGCCATGAATGAAAGACCTTCTTGATAACACAATTATAATATTGACTCGTTGTCACCCCAAATACTTTGAATCTTTAATGCAAAAATCTGTGTTGACAGTAATGCAGAAAAACCTGCATTCAATGGACACCTGCAAGTCCCTCACCATTGCAAACTGAATTTATGAAAAAATCAGTTATGTACTGGGCAGCAAGAGCCTACAATGACTTCCCACACCCTGCAAAGCAGTGCAAATCTTTCCCACAGCTCAAGGATCAAAGGACGGTAATTTTGTAATTTGGCGGTACCGCTATATAGTACATTTTTCAAGTATCTGCCGACACCCACATAGAAATACCAGGGTCATTAAAGTCTTATTATTTTCCTGATTTGTAGTGGATCAAATACTCTCACATCTGTACACAGAGATGCTACTGAACATGAGGCTTGCATTTAGAGAGGCTAAGCAGTGTATGACAACAGGTAAGGCTAGAATCGGAATTAAGGTATCAATGCACTACTGAGGAATGATAAAGGTTTAATTTCACTTGGAAGCATGTCTTTGCTTTTTGTTTACATGATAGTAGATCCACTTGTGGATTCATTTTTTTTTCCAGTGTATGAATTTTTCAAACATTCACATTTTCGTTTCCTTTATCTCAGATCCATAGGGCTGAGAAAAACAAAATTAGAAAAAAAGCAAAGAAAC